ATATTGTGTAAGACAACGTGGAAACAGCCAATAACAGGGTAGAAAAATGTGTCATTTGCAGAGTTATTACCGCTGAGGATCAGTCTAAAACTCATTAAAATGTAAAATAGTGGTAGATTGTGCAGATGTTTTGGCTTATGTGTTGTTGAAGGCTTCCATGACTGGGTTGTTGTGAGTTTTCCAGTCTGTATGGCTATGTTCCACAAGCATTCTCTCCTGATGTTTCGCCCACATCTATGGCAGGCATTATCAGAGGTTGAGGGATCTGTTGGAAACTAGGCAAGGTTTATACATCTGTGGAATGTCCAGGGTGGGAGAAAGAACTCGTGTTTGCTTGAGGCAAGTGTGAATGTTGTAACTGGCCACCTTGATTAGCATTTAATGGTTTTACAGCTTCAAAGCCTAGCTGGTTGCTATCTGGGCTTTGTTGGAAGGTGTTAGCTGGCCCTGATTTATTCTTGTCTGCAATTCCCCTGCTTTTTTAGTGTTGCTTTTTTGTTTACTATCCTGATTTTAGAGTTGTTTAATACTGGAAGCCAGATTTTGTTCATTTTCATGGCTTCCTCCTTTCTGTTGAAATTGTCCATATGCTTGACTTTTCAATTCTGGCTTTGATGGCATTGGTTCTAATGGCATGTGCTTGCACTGCCAGAATCAGGCCCTCTGTCTCCTTTTTCAAAGTTCCATTTGTGAGCCACAGCCATGTTTTTTCTTTGTCAATTTGGCTCTCAATTTTTCCTAGGAACTGTCCATGGAGAATCTTCTTTCACCAGTTTTCTCTTCTGCTCTGGATTGTGGTTTTACGGTATTCACTCTTTGTCTTTTGCACTTTAAGCAGTTTACTATGATTGACTTCCCTCAATATTTCTTCTTGACTGCCTTTCACATAATCTGCCAGTGTATCATCATCATCATCATCGGGTAAAGGTTTTCCCCCTGTCATTAAGTCCAGTCGTGTCCGATATTGGTACTCATCTCAATTTCTAAGCCGAACAGCCGGTGTTGTCCAGACACCTCCAAGGTCATGTGGCCAGTATGACTGTATGGAGCGCCATTATCTTCCCACCGGAGCAGTACATATTGATCTACTCATGTTTGCATGTTTTCGAACTGCTAGGTTGGCAGAAGATGAGGCTGATAGCAGGAGCTCACGTCGCTCCCCGAATTTGAACCTGCAACCTTTCAGTCAACAAGTTCAGCAGCTCAGGGGTTTAACCCATTACGCCACCGGGGGCTATTATTATTATTATTATTATTATTATTATTATTATTATTATTATTATGTCAGAGCTCCAAAAATTGCTATTTGAACTACAACTCCCCAAATCTCCCAACCAATGTAGACTGTATATTAACTGTGTTATTTTGGATGTATGGTTCAAAAAGGCTCTGAAACAGAGCTCTCTATTTCCGGTCCAGGTCTATTAAGTATGTTCTGTCAGCTTTCACATTTGTCTGCAAATTTGTTTTTAAAAACACTGACAGAAATGTATATTGCACACATCCCTTATCCAGAATTCCAACATCTGAAATACTCCAAAATTGTCTACATGGGTGGCTCCGATGGTGAGCAGTTCGCTTTTTAATTGTTCAATGTACACAAACTTTCTTTAATGAATATTTATTTAACAATAATGTGTATAAAATTACACAAAAATCTCATTACCTGTATGTTTTTACATGCAAATACAGGTATTCCAAAATAAAAACAAATCTCAAATCCTTCTAGCCACAAGCATTTTGAATAAAGGATACTCAAGCTGTATTTTGAACTTTGAACTCTCCAAAAATAATTAGTGTATACATTTTGACCTAAAATACCCATTTTAGAATGCATTTTATCCAAAATTTTAAATTTGTAAATTTGGATGGCAATTCTCAGCCAAGAACTGATTGCAAAATTTAGATAACTTTAAAAAAAAACCCTGAACAATTCATGCATTATGAGTCACAAAGTAGTCCACGCAGTTCAAATCAGGGCGGTTTACTTTAAGATGCAGACCAAGCAAAAATCCTCAAGTATCCTTAGGACTCAGGATCGAGATTTACTAGAGGTCTACAGTATCCTTGTACATGAATTACTGAACTAATTTAACATACATTTTAATGGTGTGGTCTTGTGTTATAAGTAGTGTCAGGGCAAAGAGTTCCACTGCTGAACAGCTCTCACGGTTAGGAAGTTCTTCCTAATGTTCTTTACACCTTCAGAATTGACAATTAATAATAATAATAATAATAATAATAATAATAATAATAATAAAAACTTTATTTGTATACAGCTCTATCTCCCCGAGGGGGACCCAGGGCGGTTTCCAAGTAACATCACCGAAACATACAAAGTAAACAGCATAAAATAAAATTAACAAAACAACATAAGCATAAAATTATCACAATAACACATGTATATTAAATACTCAGTAAAGCCCACTTTCAGCCAAATATTCCCCCCATCTAATCAACCCAATGGACAATCCAGGTTTACATACTGTGGGCTTTGCTGAGACTTGAGCAGCGAATTTCACATGGGAGGAGTAATTTTCCTGTCTTTGCTCACCATTTAACCATATCACTAAAAAAGGATGAGAAGGAACAGGAAGAGGTATTTACTTTTTACTGTATCTAAGGGATGTCATCTGTTACAAACAATATGAATTCTATATCAGAGTTTTGTTTCTGTGGAGCCAAGTTTTGAAAGAACTGTCACCCTATCTAAACTGTTAGGAATAATGAACCTAGTTTACATGGGTCTTGTAGTGTCTTTCACTTCAACAGTAGGCAACTGCAATTTCCGGATTCTCTTTAGAAAGGCTCTTGAATTATTTAGTGTGCATGTAACAGCTGTCCATTTTGACAGAGAAATGAATGAAGGTCACTGGTAGATGATCCAGTTTGTTGCAGTCAAAGTGCAGTAAAACAAAACTTTCTTTTCTAAAGTGCCTGAAGGACAGCTGCAGGTTTTGTATCTATAGAAAATGCAAATCCCAGATCCGATTTTAATAAATTCTGAAGACATAACCTATATTTGTATGCTGTACTAGTTTGCTGATTAGTCAGTATGATTCCTAATGCTTTTTGTTTAAACATTAACATTTGTGGTACATTAGTGAAGAAAGTTCACAGCAATATGTTTCTTTACTGTCTAACTAGGAAGTTCAAGAACACTCTGTTTTCCATTTCCACACTTCTTCCTATTGGAGTTGGTATAGCAGGACAATACAGTAAAGCAACCAATCTGTTTACTGTTAGACTAGTCACACGTATATATGATGTAAAACAGAAACTACTTCGTACATACACATTTTTATAAGTATTGTTCTTTGAGCAATATCGTCAAATGCTCTCTGGATTATATTTCTAGTTACGTAAATATTTGCTGAGTGTATTACAAATATTTAATTGGCACCGTAGCTGTCAAACCTGATTCCTCTTCAGTGCTTAATATTAGATTTACGTCATTTAATAATAATAATAATAATAATAATAATTTTGAAAAAGGAATCTGAGGACCTGATTCTTGCAGCCCAAGAACAAGCAAATAGAACAGATGCCATCAAAGCCAAAATTGAAAACTCTATAAATTCCAAGTGTAGACTCTGCAAGGAAGAAGAGAATACGATGAATCACATCCTCAGTTGCTGCAAGAAGATCATGCAGATGGACTACAAGCAGAGGCATAATACTGTTGGCCTGCACTTGAAAACAATCGGCGCTGACAAAATTACCATCTGCCAGCTGCAAAAGGCTACCCTAATCAGATCTGCATGCATTATTCTCCGATACCTCACATAGTGCTTGGGAAGTGTTCGATGTATGATCCAGTACAAAAGCCAGCATAATGATCTTGTTTGCTGTGTACTAATCTTTTGTGTACCAAATAATAACAATAATTTTATTTCTTACCCACCTCTCCTCGTGGCTCAAGGTGGGTCATGGAATAATTATAACACATAAACATTGTAAAATCATTTACTCCTGCTTTTCTTCTCAGCCTCTTTTTAGTTGGAATTTTTAGCTTTTTCTTTTTTTTTCTTCTTTTTTTTTCTTCTTTTTTTTTGCATTGGGAGAATGGTGATGTAAGACTGGAGAAACATAGACTTTCAGAGTTGGGTTAAGGCAGCATGTCCACGAAAAACAATGCAATAAGCAAAGCTTACACTGGGAAAGAGCAGGATTCAGCTGTAGGCAAACCTACTGTAGCAAGATATACAACATTCAAGGTAAACAACAGCTGCCTCCAAAATCTCTTACTGAGCAAATATGAATAGCTGAAAGAAGAGAAAGGGGTGAGAGCAGGTGACCTTACCTGGCCACCTATGCCCAGCATGTCAAAAGACATTGTTCTATTTGTTTGATCACCAACATGAAAACAATAAAATAGTGGAGGGTGGTGAAAGAAAAAGGCATCCTTCATATTATTCTGGAAAAACCCTTATCAGACCTTTCATTTCAGATATAAATATTTTTAGTTTTGAATAAATCGTTTGATTAAACATTTTGAAGTGCTCACTAGAAAAGCAGAGGGCAGTAGGAAAAAGGAAGACTGAATTCCAGATGGATAGACCAAATCAAGGAAGCTATGGCTTTGGTGCATAATGTTGTTGATGGCAGGATGACTTGGAGGGTTCTCATCCATGTGGTTGCCATAAGTCAGAGACAACTTAAAGACATTTAACTACAACTTACTTCCAAGGTGTAGAACCATATTCTTATCCTTGCATTCTGTTTCTACTTCTGGTACTAAGTATTTTCCTAAAGAGGAAATGCCCAGGAGCGCATCTGCTTCATTAACTTTGAGGTATACCTGTATACTTGAAATAACAACAGAATGTACAGGCCAGAAATGCACCAGTGGTATGTGACTGCTTATTTAGGGGGAAATGGAATGCAATCCTGCCCCCTCGCTCTCAATTATCCCCACTTAGTCCATTCTTCTCAGGAAGTGAATTGCATGAAACATTAATGGACTTTGTCCGCCAGGCCTATGAGGCAGCTTGGCCGCTTTTAACAACGGCCTCCTCTCCCTCCCACAGTGAAACTGAAGCTGCTTTTTCCTGTAACAGTTGAATGACTGCTTCTCTTTCTACCTTTCCCTCTCCCCCTCTTTCATCTAGGGACTTCCTCTGAAATAAGCCCAGGCAGTTTATTCTTCTATCTGCAAAAAGGGAAAGGATGATCACTTTTTGGAAGAAATAGGCAAGGTGCAAGGGAAGCGACATGTTGGAAGAGAGAACTTTGTTGCCAGAGAGCACAGAGGAAGCAGGAAGTTTAGTGAGCAAAGCTCAGGGGTCAGGTAACCATCCTCGGGTCACTTTTAACGCTCCGGAGAAATCAGAAGAGGAGCCACCCCATAGAAAGTTAGCCAAGTTAACAGTCAAATATAACCGAAAAGATCTTCAAAGGTGGCTAGACCTGGAGGAGTGGATTGACACCCAACTGCAGAAGCTGTATCCATATCAGGTGAGTAATTATCAAGGAGAATGAAGGATTGGTGTACAGATCTGAATCATTTTATTTGTGCTGTGTGATTGTAACATGGCAAAAGGATACAAAAGTAGAGTGGAGCAGTGTCTGCTTTGGTAGTAAGGAAATTAGGTCCATCCATCAGCTCCTATCTGCTCCGGTCCTCTTGTTTCCATTGTGTCTGCATGTGATTAGTGGAAGTGATTAGAAATGAAGAGGTATAAACCTTCCTGCCCTGAAGCAAAGACATCCATTATCCAAAGAATTCCTTGGCAGCACCTGCCCATTGGAAATTTCCAAGCTGGAGATACCACAGTCTTCTTAAGTAGCTCCTGTAATTGAGGAACTGTTCTTACCCTCAGCAAATGTTTCTTAATCTACCATTGCCATCTGTCTCCTGCTGTTGCATTCCTGCCAGGCACCTGGCTGTGTTGTTATCTAGGGAATGCCCATCTTTTCTTCCAGAGATCTTTGTAAATTTCTGTAATGTGTCACTGTCTAAATCAAGGAGAAATTGTGTGATCTTTCTGATGTTGTCAGAATACACCTCCTAGTATTCATTAATATTGGCCAAGCTGGGTAGAAGCTACAGGAAGCTACAACAATATCTGGAAGGCATCATAGTTTCCACTACAGTCTAAAAGTTGTTCAGAACTTGGAATGGTTCTGTTTTAAAAATGACTTTTTGGTTATCTGCTACAGTATTTGAAAAGCAATTTGTTGTCACTGAAACAATATTGGAAAAATACTCTGTTGTGTTACTCATAGTGAGCATTACTTTTCTATACTTTCCTTTGGTCAGTCTTCCTTCACAATAAATGCATTAGCCTAATATATATATATATATATATATATATATATATATATATATATATAAAGAGCTTCCTTGGGTGACGCCAAGGGAGAAAAACAGAACAGAACCAAGCACAATAATGGTCACCATTAAGCCAGATGTAGGAAATGTGTGGTCTTCCAAGTATCACTAAATAACTCCAAATAACATTATCCCTCACCATTAACGAAGCTGGCTAGGGCTGACAGGAGATTCATTGGAAAGTTCATGCATTGCTAACTTGTGAGTTATATATTATAGGTTGGTCACACATGCACACACATGTACACACATACACCTGTTATTATAGACTCAGGAAGATAACATAGAGGCCAGTGAGGTGTCTCTGGCTTGATGTGTTGTTTGAGCAGAGTCCTGCTCTACAGCATCATAAAGAATTTTTAAGGTTGAAAATAAGCAAAAGACAGAAGACAGTGAAGATCTTGACAGGCCCACATTAACAAAAGTATATTGTTTAATGTGGGGGTGAAATCTGGACCAATTTTCAGATAGAGATTTTACCGTATGGTGGGATATGGAGGCCAAGATCCAGTTGAATGGTGGTTGTGTGCCTTCATGTCATTTTGAATTTATGGCAACCCTAAGGCAACCCTATCATAGTTTTCTTGGCAATATTTTCTCAAAGGAGGTTTGCCTTTGCTATCTTCTGAGACTGGGAGGGTATGACATGCCCAACTTTTCATGGCTAAGAGGGATTTGAAGACTAGCCTCCAGATTTGTAGACCAGTATTCAAACCATTACACCATTCTAGCTATCAACTGAATGGAACCAGAGCAGCAAGTCTTGCAAGTACAGAAATGTGAGATTGCTAGTGTTTGCCTCTGTGCACATGGCAATCCCTGTTCAGAAACCATGACTTCTATTCACCTGACAATGTCCTGGATACCTCATTGGAAAGAAAATATCAAATCACCCTCACTATGGTCCATTAATGAAGCTTGCTGCAACAGAATCCTGCTTTGTATGCATCTATAAGACAATTCAGATGGACAGCTGGCACCAGTTCTAAACTGGCATTGGAGCTCTCTGTCATTTCATGGAGTAACATGAGGAAATGAGACTAGATCCCATCTGATCCTGCTACACAACAAAGTAATCCAGGCACACACAATTCATATTCTGCCTTTCTTGTGCTTTTACCTGATTCAGTCTGCAAGCAACCATTTGATAGCCATTTGATTTAAACAATTAAAACCCATCATAACACATAACTACTTTCCATTAGATAAAGAAAAATCAATGTAACACAGAGATATGCAGCAGATGCAACAAAGACCATGTACACAGTGATTAAATGTGTGTCTTCAAGCTCAAACCCAACTCAGCTTTTAAGCTCACTATAAGTGAACTTAGGTAGGCAGGCACACAAACAAACTTAGCTCAGTGGATTATTGTGGTTATTGTGAAGTGCCCATTGGCAACAGGAGACCTCACTGTGTGTCATTTGGCAGAAAGGTAGAATATAAATTATACACACAAACAAATATATGCACTCACACACACACACAGGTACAGGTTGAGTATCCCTTATCCAAAATGCTTGGGACCTGAAGGGCTTGGATTTTTTTGGATTTTGCAACACTTGCATATACAGTAAAATCTTGCTTATTCAACCTTCACTCATCCAACATTTTGTATTATCCAACGCAGTCTGCCTCCCGCCTGGAATAATGTCCAGGCTGGGGGAAAGAAAGAATCCTTGTCTGTTTTGGTGCTAAATTTGTAAATACAGTAATTATTACATAATGTTACTGTGTGTGTTGAACTGCTTTTTCTGTCAGTTTGTTGTAAAACATGATGTTTTGGTGCTTAATTTGTAAAATCATAATGTAATTTGATGTTTAGTAGGCTTTCCCTTAATCCCTCCTTATTATCCAACATTTTTGTTTATCCAACGTTCTGCTGGCCCGTTTATGTTGGATAAGTGAGACTCTACTCTACTTGATATGAGATCCAAGCTTAAGCAAAAAATTCATTTATCTTTCATATACACATAGTCTGAAAGTACTTCTATGCACAATATTTTAATATTTTGGGTGTGAAATAAAACCTGTGTACATTGAACCATTGGAAAGCAAAGGTGTCACTACTGTTATAAACCTATTAGAAATCTATGGTCATCTGGGGAGGGCCTTCTTTCTGTCAAGTGTATTTGGTGGGAACAAGGGAGAGGACCTTTTTGGTGGCTACTCACAGACTTTGGAATTTCCTTCCCAAAAGAGACCAAGAATGCCCTATTCTTGCTGGTCTTTTGCAGGCACGTAAATATGGTTCTTTGCCATCAGGCATTTGGGGAAGGATGAGGAGCACGCTGCTCAGGATGTTGTCGGTGAGGTGTTGGGTTAGATGTTTGGTTTTTAAATGAAATTTTAACTGTGTTTTAACTGTATTTTAACTTTGTAGTCATAACGTAAGCATTGTTTTAAATGTATCTGCCTTGATTTAAAAGTGTAGTGGGTTGTGTCATGATTTTGGTAGCTGCCTTGAGTCCTCATGGGGAGAAAGGCACAATATAAATGAAGAAGGTGATGATAAATAATTCAGCCACCTATGAGGATGATTTTGGAGTATTTTAGATTTCAGGGTAAGGAATATTCAACTATTTAAACTTACACATCTCAGCCAAAATACTCCAAAGGCACTAGATCCCATCTGATCCTGAAACCAGGTTAGTGTTTGAATGAGTGATTGCTGAGGAATACCAAACGATGTAAGCTATATTTTAGGAAGGAATTAGCAAACCACCTCCGAATATACGAGGGTGGGTCAAAAAGTTTTGCCTCCTGCGTCATTAAAAACATTATAAATGAACATGTAATAGAAGATGTTGCTACAGATCATAGCCTGAACTGTCCTCTACACAAAACTATCATTCAACATAGTCGCCATCAATTTGTACACATTTGCGCCAGCGTTTAACCCAGGCATCAAAACCATTTTGGAAAAATTCAGTTTTGCTTTGTGATGCATGATTTTCAAGCTGTTTTAATGTCTTGTCAAAGGCTTTCATGGCCAGAATCACTGGGTTGTTGTAGGTTTTTTCGGGCTATATGGCCATGTTTTAGAGGCATTCCCTCCTGACATTTCGCCTGCAAGCATCCTCAGAGGTAGTGAGGTTTGTTGGAGCTAGGAAAATTGGGTTTATATATCTGTGGAATGACCAGACAAAGAACTCTTGTCTGTTGGAGCTAGGTGTGAATGTTTCAACTGACCTTGATTAGCATTTGATGGCCTGGAAGTTTTTTGGTGCGGCTTGTTAGTGCTTGGGGCAATTTTTTTAGCTGTCCCTGATTGTTTCCTCTCTGTTGTGGGAGTTTGTTGTAATTTTAGAGTTTGTTAATACTGGTAGCCAGATTTTGTTCATTTTCATGGTTTCCTCCTTTCTGTTGAAATTGTCCACATGCTTATGGATTTCAATGGCTTCTCTGTGTAGTCTGACATGGTGGTTGTTAGAGTGATCCAGCATTTCTGTGTTCTCAAATAATATGCTATGTCCAGGCTGGTTCATCAGGTGCTCTGCTATGGCTGACATCTCTGCCTGAGATGTCTGCAGTCCCTTTCATGTTCCTTGATTCGTGTTTGGGCGCTGCGTTCGGTGGTCCCTATGTAGACTTATCCACAGCTGCATGGTATATGGTAGACTCCAGCAGAAGTGAGAGGATCCCTCTTGTCCTTTGCTGAATGTAGAATTTGTTGGATTTTCTTGGTGGGTCTGTCGATAGTTTGTATGTTGTGTTTCTTCATCAACTTCCCTATGCGGTCAGTGGTTCCCTTGATGTATGGCAAGAACACTTTTCCTCTGGGTGGATCTTTGTCTTTACTCTCATGGCTTGTTCTTGGTCATTCAGCTTATTGAATCTGAAACTTTCAAACTTCTTCACCTAATGCCGCACATTGCTGATGTCCATTACAGCATCTCCATAAAAATTCTTCAAGTGATTATGGATTTCCTTGGGTGCACAACCTTCTTTTGCCAGAAATTCAATGACGACTCTTTCATTGAGCTTCAGATTAATGGTTCTAATCAGTCAATCTGAACAAGAAAAAACTATATCAGTAGAGTAAGGTTACTTCTATCATATCAGGCATAGATAGATCAGTAGCTGTGAAAGAAATAAAAGTTAGAGCGATGGAGGCATTACT